GACAGTCATGAATCAGGATCACAACACAAACAGGAAGTCCCACTGTAACGCTCTGGGGCTTTTGTGACATGAAGCAAATGAGATGGCTGTTTCACATGCAGTTTAAACAAGCAGGAAGAGGCGGAGCTTACAATGTGAGGAGCGTTGTTGGGGTTGGGGTTAAGAGTGGGGTGGTTTAGCCCCGCCCTCTGTGCATCTCTCAGGGCTGCAATTTGCTGTTCAGCAGCCTGAGTCTGCAGCTGGAGGCGGTGGGCGTGTCCAGCCTGCAGACCGAGGGCTTTGTCCAAAACACTGACAGCTCTGTCCTTCAGCTTTATCTCATCCATCTGCGCACAGACAGGTGAGAGACAACATTGAGACAGGTTAGAGGAGGCGGGGTTAGTCAGCTACATCCTTCAGTTTTCTCTCTCTTCAGTCAGGTGAGACACAGACAGGTGAGACGGACAGGTGAGCGACAGACAGCGAGACAGGTTAGAGGACGCAAGGTTAGTCAGCGATGTCTTTGTTTTATCAGAGACAGGTGAGGGGTGAGAACTGAGGCTTGGGTTATTTCAAACACACACGTGAGAGTCCAGAAAAGACTTTCTAGTCTTTGTAATGTAAAATGAAGCAGGTGATTTTTGTACCTGAATAACTTGTGTATCGTACACTGAGTATCCTGAGTTTCGGGTTTGTCCAGAGAAATCTGGAGGTGCACACGCTCATAAACAAGCTAGAGTCATAAAGTTTTGTGATAAATTATTTTGGCTGATGTCTCAGGTAACTTTTGCAGGATGTTAGTGCAGCTGCTTTGCTGCTGGATCTAGTTTGCATCTGTGATTTTACTGTGAACTTCCAACCCCATCATATGTGCTAGCTGTGATGGAATTTATTGAAAATATTCCAACGGCTGTGGATGAAAAACAGTTTGGAATAGGTGTGTTTATTGATTTATGTAAAGCCTTTGATACGATAGATCTTTCTTTACTTTTACAGAAGTGTGAAAGGTATGGTTTAAGAGGTGTTGTACAATTTTGGTTAAATAGTTACTTGAATAATAGGTTCCAATATGTAAGTATTAATAACATGAAATCTAAACTTGTGGAGTTCCGCAAGGATCTGTTTTGGGACCTAAGTTATTTTTACTTTATATAAATGATATTTGTACAGCCAGTGATACTTTAAAATATGTGATGTTTGCTGATGATACAAACTTATTTTGCTCTGGAAAAGACATAAAGAAATTACTGAAAACAGTGGAAACAGAACTCATGAAGTTAAATAGATGGTTTGTATTTAATAAACTATCATTGAATGAAAGTAAAGC